TAGGCTGTTCTGTCAGGGTGCAGCAAATGTTGTCAGCACTGTGAAATCAAAGAAAGAGGAGCAACTGAGATCAAAGTAAGCAATAAACACATAGCTTGTGTCTTGACAGTGTCTTTTTCAAGCTGGCGGCAAAACCTGGAGGAGCTCAAGGTGTAGCTTGATGGTGACTGGTGCTGGCATGGGCTGCTTTGCCTCCTATGCTTTCCCCCTCTGCTGTGTTGGTGCTCCAAAGCCAGGGTGAGATGACCCTTAGCACTACTGTCACACACATCTTCTGCTTGTGAGCCGTTCAGTTTCTGCTGGTTTAGTGCCTTGAACCAGCTCCAGTGGGATGTTGGAGCAGTGCGGCTGCTGTAAGGAGTAAGGACCAAGCAGTGTGGTCTAAACCTGGCTTGTCGAATTGCAGCCTTGCTCTGCCCAGTTCTGAGGTAGGGGCCTTGCTCTTTGGATCTTCCCACAATCAAAGCATTGTTGCTCGGAGGCCAAGGGTTCTATGTTTTTCACCACATATTTTGGGCCCTTCCTGTGGTGCTGCACTGCATCCACACGTTACCGTCTTGGTTGAGGTGGAAGGTGTTAGGATGTATACACATCTTCAAGTCCTTTTACAGATGTAAATAAAGTTTCCTTCTAATTAAGTTCTTTTTATTTGTGAGGCTTCTGGTTGCGCATGGATCTCTTCTTTTCAGTGTCAGCATCCTTTGAGCCTAGCACCAAACACAGCAGTGTCGTCTGCCTGTGCACGTTGAGAGGTAGGGGAAGGAAGCTGGTGTGCAGCCTGCTCTGTGCTTGCACTGAGGCCAGCTGGCCAGGGCAGCTGCTGCAGGGTGCGGGATGTGGCCCTTCCCGGCGCAGGAAGGCTTCGACCTGCTGCAGTGTCCCTGGGGACCTGGGCAAGACAGCAAAGGTGGACGGTGGCTGTTTTCTCCTGCAGCAAAGAAATAAAAGGTTCATGGGGCTGGGAGGAAGGCAGCTAAGTACTGCAGGGGGTTTCCTTGCGACAGACTCTGCAATTTTTGCACTTAACTGCAGAACATTTAACTTAAACTCTTCAGTGCAGGGTGTGCCGATGGTGTGTGTGCTCTGCAGGTGGCTCAGGGCTTGTATTTGATCCCATGTTCACATCAGGTTTCAGACATTTCTCTAGCCTGTGGTGCCGATGCACCAAATGGATGCTGTAGTACGTGTGCCACTACAAAAGCCTGCGGAGAAAGGAAATTAGCAGAGCTTTGGTTCTCGCACTGGCAGTCGTCTCTGCTGGGTCCTACAGCACACGGCTGCGCTGCAGAGTAGTGGGTTGTAAAATGGAGATGGTGCTGGAGAGCTTGCGTGAAGATGAACAGCAGAGCTGCTTTCAACCAGCTAGAAATGCCTTTATCTGGCGCTTCGGTCGATCACGTCCCACACCTGCTAGGTGGAGTGAGTGCCCGTCTGAGAGCTCAGCTCCACGCTCTGGCGTCAGCCAGCATGGGTGTGCTCACCCTCCTGCTTGTTTGAGGGTGTTTGATGTCTGGCTGGTTAGTAAAGAGCGAGTTTTGGGATATTTTTCAGCTCTTCGGTTGACAGAATTGCATTTCAGGAGCTCTGTCTGGGAACCCAAGAAGGCAGTGACAGTGCTCAGCGCCCTCCCACACTGGCTGTGTTCAGGGAAATGGGGGTGATCCTGTGTCTGTCAGCCTTTCCCATCCCTGGGATGTGTTGTGGTACCCGCTGGAGCATGAAATAAGTCCTGTCAGTTTGTTTCTGACCTCATATTAATGAAGAAAATTGTGATAACCAGGAGAAACTGCTGGCCACACTAATAGTCCTGCTTGTGGTAGATTGCAGGCATCCGCAGACCAGATGAGCCCTGCCAGACTCCTCTTACCACTGACTGCTGTGTGAAAGGGCCCTTCCTCGGCTGCTTGTCGGGGGAACATCCTTTATAGTTCTTCCATGTCAGTGACAGAGGAGTGCGGCAGCCGTCAGTTATTGGGGATGGATGTCTGTTTTTCTTTCTTCAGGCGGTGCAATCTCTCAGGAAAGCAATTTCTTGCTCCTCACGGTGTAATTTGCTAGCCAAGGTAAAGGAGACTTTGATGGGGCAGAACGGTGTCATGCGATTGACTGTCCTTGTTTGTTAAGACTCCAGCAGCATTTTTGGGAACTTTTCCTTCCTCTTTTCCCTCTCCCCGTACAGGCACACCTTAGCATTACTTTTCTGCTGTTGCTGGGAGGTAACATGCTAAGAACACGATGACTTCTGTTTCCTTCCCTGCTGGATTCTTTCTGGTGGCAGCAGGCAGGCTGGGGCAGCAGCTCCTCCTAGCAGCTGGTGACTGGCTGAGGACGTTGCCGTACTGCCAGGCATAGCAGTTCAGACACATCGCAGCATTTGAAAGGCAGCACAGGGGAAATATTAGGCTCCCACCATTTTCTGTTAAGTGAATAATGACTGGCATGAGCCTGAATGCTAGTGAGCCTGCCCTAAAACCTGCAGCAGCAGGGAAGATGCTCTGATTTCCAGCGGGTTGGGCTGAGCCTGAGATGGGAAGAGTCAAAGAGAATTAGCTGGTAAATAAGATCTCCTGCCTTCTCTTTGATCCGCTCTACATGTTCAACTGCTTAAAGGCTTCTCAAGCAAGCAGGGTTTTGGGGGAGGAAGAATTTATCCACCATCTCGTGGCTCTGTGAAACGCGCAACTGCAAGATATTCTAGCAGGGGGCTGGGAAGAAATCCGAAGGTAGCCTAGTAAATCCCTGCCAAAGAGGCTTCTCTACCGTCTGCTTTTAAACCACTTTTGCTTCCTTTTTTGCTGCTGTGTAAGCCCCTCTGATCAGAGCTTTAATCTGGCTAAAGTTAGTGGATTTACGGAAAGCCTGATCTTTGCATCATAGTATGGAAAGAGAAGGGTGATCCGGAGTGCTGACACACAGTGGGGCAGCTGTAATGCTGTTGCAAAAGGTTGGTTCTGACTTGGTCAGGTAAGCCAGGCAAAAAGCAAAAAAGGAAGGTAAGGGGGGGTGAAAGATCGAGGAAGGAAGATGCTAATAGTGGCAGTAGATGCTGCAGGTTGACACGGAGATGGTGAGGTGGAAGGTGAAGCCTTGCTGCGCTTATGTCCCTGCAGTGCCCTTCAGGAGCTTCCTCTGGGGTCTCTGCTCGAGTGCTGCTCCAGAGAGCCCTGCCTGAAGGAGAGCCGTGCAGCTGGGAGCACGCAGGTTGTGGTGTCTGTGGGAGCCCAGCTTCTGCTCTGGTTTGTCCCCAGCCTGCTCCATAATGAGCTTTTTCATTTCTATTCTGCTTGCAGGGAAGATGGGAATAACGATGTCTTTGGTAAACTACCTTGTGCTTCTGTCAGTAGCAACTGATGCAAGATCTAGGGTTAATATTCCTACATTGCAAAGCACTTGTGTGCGTTCCCTTGAGTGATTCCCAGCACATTCCTGTTCCTGGAAGAGGCCACGTTTGTGGTGCCCTTTTAAAACCATTTCCCATCTCCTGAGTCCAGCTATGTTTGCAGCTCGGGCCGTGGGCTGGAGTTGTGTGCTTGGATAATCTGGTTGCCTAATTGCCACCCTGCTTGGAGGCAGCTGCTGTACTGGGCATAAGCTGATTTGGGATGGCAAATTCTGTTAGTTTAATTCTCAGCAACACTGAGGAACTTGTCAGCGTGTGGGTATCCCTTGGCTTTGCTCTAGCTACGAATGTGCCCTGGAGACCTTTGCCAGCTGGTGACCCCCCAGCAGTTAGCTTGCAGACCTCTTGGCTGTGGAGAGATCAGATTTGTAAGGGCTATTTGCTACGGTTCCCTGAGCTCTTGTGTCTTTGAACCCAGCTTTTCTATTCCCTGTTGATGCGGTTTGTACAGAATCGTGGCATCTCATTGCTTGGGGCTTCCTTTCCCTCGGTGTTACCACTCTCCGCTTTCCCCATCTCCTTTCCAGACTTGATAATAGGTTGTTAGCTGGCATGGGAGTTGTTTATTGGCTGTTCTCAGTAACCTTTGGGTCCCAGATGGATGTACATGAAGCCAGTGTGACCATCCTTGCTGTTCTGCTATGAACCTAAACCCATCTCATGTCTGCATGGAAGGTGTCTGGCCCCCAGGAAAAGGTGTCAAAAGTTCCAGGCCCCCAAGGAGTCACTTGAACTATAATACGGAAAAAATCAGGGAGGGGAGAAATACCCATTTTTGAAACTATTTCTTTTGCAGCTCCCTCCTAGTGTTCTAAGAGGCATTTGTCTGTCTTTGAACCTGAAGGAAGTTTTTCTAGCCTCTTGACTAGATAACTTGAAACTCCATGTTATTTCTCAGCTCACTGCGTATTAGGCAGTGCCAGCGATTAATGAGATCACCGCCCATATTCCTTTCTCTGTCAGCTTCTCAGAAAAACAGTACTTGGAAAAGTACACAAAGGAGATGAAAAGGAAGTTGCTTATGAATTATGAACAGCCTTTCAGGCTGATGTTATTTCATGGGGCTGTCACTTCATTTTAATTAAGTAATTCAGATCGAATGATGCTTTTCCCTGTTTGTGTTTGATCACCTTTCAGAGGTAACACTTAGATAGCTCGTGTCTGTTGAATTTTCATTTTCAAGTAACAAGAGTGGGCACTTACTGCCCTTACTGATTAAATAATGGAGAAGGAAGACACCGCTGCGGCTGAGCACAAGCCACAAGAGCCAAGAAAGAGGCTTGACTCTGGAAATTAGCTGGGTGATTGCTTGGACATTTTGTGGCTGGTGTGAAAGATGGAGCATGGTTGGACCCAGTGGTGAGTACCAGAGTGTGCAAATCCAGCCAGTGTTTCTCAAAGTATTGCACTTGCCTCCGGCTGAAATTTCTCATTTCTCCGTTTTCTTACTAGTGTGTGGCTAGTAACCCCCGCACTCAGCCGCAAACAGAACTGCCAATGCCTAGTTTATTTTGGGATTTGTGTGTATGTAAATTGAGCCATTAGTTCCCAGACTCGTGCTCCCTGGAGCTGCGCAGTTCGAATTGCTGCAGATCGAGACTGTACCTCTTCCTCTGTGAACGGGGATAATCCCACGGCCATTCGGGAATGGCGGTTGTCGAACTGTCTCCTGCTGATGCTTGGGCTGCAGTTGTAGCCCGGCCCACGGGTGAGTGGGGTGCAGCTGCTGACCCACTTTCCGTGGACGGGCATCGTGGGAGCACTCATCTCCTGGCACCAGCAGGGTTGCGGGGATGCGTTTTCGTGCTCCTTTGTGACAGTGCTAATGGTGTTGTCTGGCACAGATTACGCAAGGCTGAGTGCTGTCGAAGCACAGCTGTGTGGTCCCTGGCGTTTGCTTTCTTCCCCCTCAGCCACTGGGCCACTCTCAACAGGGTATGTTGTTTTCAGCCCTGGTTTTATTTACCTTTCATTGCGGATAAACCTTTTGCTAAGGGATTAAGACTTTGGGCTGCCCGACTTAATTGGGGATCTAAATCTTCCCAGGCAGAGAGTGCTGGAGGCTTTGTGCGTGGTTTGCTGGCGGTTAGCCTGCGTGGCAGCAGAATGAGGGCTCTGCTGTGTCTTCATGCTGGTGGGGGTGCGTCCTGACTGCACTCCAGAGAGACGGCCGGGGTGCCTGCTTTCTGGCTGTGCAGGAGTTGCTGCTGCAGACTGGGCATGGAGCTGTGCGGGGACATGTGGCCTCCTGCTCTGCAGTGCAGAGGGGTCACCAGGCAGGAGGAACACTCTGCTTCATGGAAGGCATTTCTTTCCAACACCTGGGGCTGGTTTATGCCCTGTGACCAGGCTTAAAAGTGTTCTAGTTGGGAACTTCTTGTGTATTTTGTTCATTTATTGATTTAATTTTCTGTTTGCATAGGCCTTCCCTGTTCTCCTTCCCTCTTTGTAAAATAGTATTTGTAGCTGTTGTTACAATTCCTCTCGAAGGAAGGATGCAGCAGTTGTTTCTTTTGGACCAGTTTTCGCATGTGTAGGTTGTGCTGGGGCGGGAGGTTGCCATGAATTGAGCAGCCAGCTTTACTCGAATCAGTGCCACCCCAGCTGTGCTCTCGTAGGTTTTACTTCTGCTGATGGACCAGACCAAGCCATTTTATTGATGCCTTCAAGCCTAATAAGCTATTTAGAAAATAAATTTGCAGAATAGGCAGTGGAAGAAGAGCAGTGCTGTCATTTCTGGCTCAGTTCTGGGCATGAACGCAGGACAGTGTTGGGGATGTGGCTCTGGTGTCTTGACTCACAATCACTGCATCTCGCAAATGAAGCAAGGTCAGGCTGGCTGCCGGCTGGCACAGAGACCTTTGTGGGTGTTGGACAAAAGGCGGTACGTGGTTTTGCAGGCAGTGCCCACATAGAGCTGATAGGCTGTACTGTCAGGTCTCTGCAACCTCCTGAGAGAGGAGTGATGTTGCATTCAGTATCCTTGCCAAAATCTGCAAGGAAAATTGTATTTTTTTTCCTCTTTAAATGTCTTGTGAGCCTTGAGCTAATATCTTTCACTGCCTGACCTAAACTTCAGTGCTGTTGATAGCTGTTAAAGGTTCACATCATTTCATTTACGGCTTTTCCTCACTGGATATGTGGTCCTGCATGGTTTGGGCTCTTTGGGGTATAAATTGCTGTTTTGGCTTTTAGCCCCTAACATTTTGTACAACACAGACCTGCAGGGACTTCCCTGGGGCCCAGTTCAGCCGTGACATGCTACTGAAATGCTTGAGAGTTGCTCCTGGTTGCTCAGTGTTGAGCTTGGCTGGCTGAGTCGTGGCAAAGGGCATCCATGTTGACCGGTGACCGGAGTGCCACAAGCCACCCTGCTCTCCCCCTGCTCCGCCAATGGATCCACGCACACCTCCAGCCCCCCCTGCTTACAGCAAGTTCAGTAACTGCTCCTCTCTCGGTTATGCTGGTCTGAGGGCGGGGCTGGCAATATTCAACTCTCAAACCCGTTGGAGGCCACTGTTTTGTAGCCCTTTATTGTTGGGAAAGCAACTTCAAGCCTGGGAGTGAAATACGCTGTGTGCCAGCCTGTGTCTTGTCTCAACACTGATGTGAATGGCAAAGCAACGGCGGTTGGTGGCAGGAGGTGGCCGAGCTCTCACCAGTTAAACTCACTTTTCAGACAAACTACGTCTATGTTTAGAGCCCTAACTAGGTTGCACATACGGAGCAAAAACCAGAGGTGCTGGGATGCTGAGCCTACACTGCCAGCAATCAGCCTTTTTCTCCGGCTACTGGCAATAAAAACTTTGCCCCCCTGCTTGCCTCCTCGTGTACCTTGTTGCGCAGCTCGAAATGACTGCTCGGGATGCCTCTTCTTTCAAAAGGCGGGCTGCGGGTTTGAAAAATGGGAGGTTTGGAGGAGCTGTTAATTATGGCATAGGCTGTTGCTTTTTAGATAGTGTCCCTGCTTAACAAGAATAGTTCTGCTGGAAATGGATAAGATTCTTAGGAGCGTTTGTCCTTTATCTGTCATGCAGAGGGTGCTGCCAAAGTTTTATCTCTGCACAGCTATCGTTGGCATAATTATTCATCGCTGAACCATTGCTTCAAGGTGGGGCTGATTTTACAGTTTTTTAGAACATTTTCCCCTTAATGTTATGTTTTTACCCAAGAAGGATTTCCCCTTCCCCCACTTGAAAAAAAAATAGGATTAACATTATGGACTTTTTTCAAAATTCAAAGTAGTTTTTCAAATGCGCAGTTTTCAGACCATCTTTGTTTAACAAGTCTAATCTGAAATATGCAGTTTTAATAAGGTTTAAATTCTCTTTAGTCGTATTAATTTATTACCTGAGTGAAAACCTGAAGCAAAGCTGAGACTTTCCCACTAGAAGAAGAAGAGGTTTGCATATAGGCATTTCAGTTTTGCTTCTTGGTTTCAACTGAACAGATCTGTACCAAACAAGTGTGCATCATCAGTACGGTTTTGAGTGAGCAATGCTTTTAGCTGATATCTACAATGGAGGAAAAAGGAAGAGGGAGAGAATAAAGTTCAGCATCCACTGGGGAGGAATAAAATGTCTTCATAGATGATGTTCCTGGTGACTAGAACTGTATGATTATATGGCCTGTGTATTTCAAATTATACTGGGAGAGCTTTGCAGCTCAGAGATAATGGTGGTGCAGCTGACTTGTACTTACCGATTGAATCGCTTTGTATGCTAAATGTTATTTATTTACTTATCTGGTGCTGATGAAATATCATCAGCCCTGTTGCAATTGGTTTAAATCTCAGCCCTGCCAGGCCTTGGAGGGCAAGCTGTAGGAAATGCTTCCCGAGCCACACGGGAGGGGCAGTGCTTGGGAGAAAGACATCTGTTGAGTGGCATTTCTTCAGCTAAAAGCAAGATGCTGTGGAAACCATGTGGGAGCTGGATCCCCCTCCCTGCCCCTTGGCTAATGCCAGTTGGAGAAGTTTTTGTTCTTCTCCACTGACTGCTGCACACTGTGGCTTGGGCGCAGACTGACACTGCTCTTCTGCCTGCCGTGCTGCAGGCACAGCAGGGGGACGTTGTGTTTCATCTGCTGGGAGATGCTTCTGCTTTCCATAGCAAACTGTGCATCAGCCCCCAAAATCACTGTGTCCAAGTGAATGAGCATCCAGGGCATTTCGTAAGCTGCAGCCAGGTTTGTGAAGGTTGGAGACAGCCTCGGCAGCAGTGACCATGAAATGGTGGAGTTCAGGATCCTGCGTGGAGGAAGCAGGGCGATAAGTAGGATCAAAACCTTGGACTGCAGGAGAGCTAACTTTGGCCTCTTCGAGGAGCTACTTGGAGGAATCCTGTGGGTCAGGGCTCTAGAAGGCAGGGGTGTCCAAGAGAGCTGGTTGCTGTTTAAACATCACTTCCTCCATGCTCAGGATCGGTGCATCCCACTGAGCAAGAAACGTAGCAAAGGAGGCAGGAGACCCACATGGATGAGCAAGGAGCTCCTAACAGAACTCAGATGGAAGAGAAAGGTCTATGGAATGTGGAAGAGGGACAGGCCACGTGGGAGGAGTACAGGAATGTTGTCAAAGCATGCAGGGATGCAATGAGGAAGGCTAAGGTCCACCTGGAATTGAATCTGGCAAGGGATGTCAAGGACAACAAAAAAAGCTTCTGCAAGTACATCAGCAGCAAACAGAAGACTAGGGATAAAGTGGGGCCGCTGCTGAACGAGGTGGGTGCCCTGGTGACGGAGGATGCAGAGAAGGCAGAGTTACCGAATGCCTTCTTTGCTTCAGTCTTTAGTGCTAAGGCCGGCCCTCAGAAATCTCAGGCCCTGGAGGTAAGAGAGGAAGCCTGCAGAAAGGATAAGCTTCCCTTGGTCGAGGAGGACCGTGTGAGAGATCACTTAAGCAATCTGGATGCCCACAAATCCATGGGTGCCGATGGAATGCACCCACGAGTGCTGAGGGAGCTGGCAGATGTCATTGCTGAGCCACTCACCATCATCTTTGAAAGGTCCTGGAGGACAGGAGAGGTGCCCGAGGACTGGAGAAAAGCCAGTGTCACTCCAATCTTCAAAAAGGGCAAGAAGGGGGACCTGGGGAACTACAGGCTGGTCAGCCTTACCTCCGTCCTGGGAAAGATGATGGAGCAACTCATTCTGGAGGACTTCATTAAACAAGTGGAGGAAAAGAAGGTTATCAAGAGTAGTCAACATGGATTCACCAAGGGGAATTCATGCTTGACCAATCTAATAGCTGTCTATGATGGCCTGACTGGCTGGGTAGAGGAGGGGAGAGCAGTGGATGTGGTCTACCTTGACTTCAGCAAGGCTTTTGACACTGTCTCCCATAACATCCTCCTAGGGAAGCTCAGGAAGTGTGGGCTGGATGAGTGGTCAGTGAGGTGGATTGAGAACTGGCTGAATGGCAGAGCTCAGAGGGTTGTTGTCAGCGGTGCTGGGTCTAGTTGGAGGCTGGTAACTGGTGGTGTCCCCCAGGGGTGAGTACTCAGCCCAGTCTTGTTCAACTTCTTCATCAATGATCTGGATGAAGAGTTAGAGTGCACCCTCAGCAAGTTTGCTGATGACA